AGAATGCACCTTCTCTCCCAGGCAAGGGAGACCTGAACACAGAAAAGGTCTGCGCTCAAGGATGGCTGGGTAGGAAACAGGTAGCAGTGTCTGCAGTGACTCTGGCCCTCAGAGGTCACCCTTTTAGAGAAGCCAGGTCACCAGGAGCCCCCAGAGTTCCATGTGCAACCCAACCCCACCCCTGTTCCCAATACTACTGCATTTTAGTGCCCTAGGCTGCCAAGGGAAGAAGTAACTAGATGGCGAAACTCGGAACTTGTGAAGCTCCCTTCCAGAAGCTCCCATTTTCAGGATTTGGTTGTGGGGAGGGGGAGTTCAAATCCCAGCCCCCCTTCTCCTTTATACCTAGAGAATAAGTTTCTCATATCTCCCTTCCGCACCAGGGTTCAAAGCTCCCAAGAATAGAAGAGTAAGGCCATGGAGGGGGTCTGGTGCTTAGGACTCTCCCTTTAGTTTGCTCACAGGAGGGGACAAATGCCCTGTGTGCACAGAGGTTTGATGTAACAGCTTCAAGGACTTCACAGGGGTTTCAACAAAGGCATCTCCACGGCTCTGCTCCCTCCTCCCGTGCATTGAGATAATGGTGGGGTGTGTGCAAATCTTGGCTACCCGGGCCCTCTCTCCCTCCTCCTGTTTCCTTCCCCACAGCTTGGCTTGCCCACAGGTTCCCAGAGACTTTTGGCAGCTGGCTCTCAGGCAGAGGGAAGGTGTGAGCTGCGTGGGAGGTGAGGCGGTTAGACGGCCAGAGTGTTGCAGCCTACTTAATGAGGGACGGGAGCTCCTGTTGGAGCCATTAAGCGGCAGCTACAAAGATGGGGAACCCCAATTAGAAAGGAGTGGGAGACATCAGGAGGAGGCCCCGCGGGACACCTATGGGACAGATCCTTGTCTTGGATGACTCTGCGGGATTCATGGGTGGAGATGTAGCCGGTTGGGTTCCGAGTCTCATTTTAAAGTGAGCTATCCCAAGGTCTGTCTGTAGAGGAGCGCGCGAGGCTTTAAGAAATCTCAAGGGAGGAGGGAAAATGACTAGTGGGCAGTTCTCCTCGAGTCTATGGTTCAGATATTACAATCCAAGAGTATGAAAGGCAATGATAAGCCATTTACTTAATTTTAACAGGCATCCCCTTTCAGTCTGGCTCATGTATGTTCCTACGGATTTCTGTATGCAGCCAATGGCTCCCTTCCGTTGATGGCTCAACTGAAATCGCATTATGTTTACAGCAAGATAATAACCCTGGATTTTCCGTGACTCGCTCCGTCAGAGCATAAGATTAGCTCTTGAATTCATTAACAGCCCTCTCCTTTTAAATGTCAGATAACTGTTTAAATGCCAAGCACTTTGCGCAATGCCTTCTGTGCAATTCAAATCAGCTTTATCACATTAACTCGCTCGCTCGTCTTTAGTGTTTCGTTTACTGAAGAGAAAGGCTCCCAGGTGTTTTTAGCAGAACCTAAAAATAGCAAAATATTTACAGTAGACAGAGGGAAGGGGGCTGGACGAATTTCGATCTCCTCTGAAATAGGTCACCTTTCCATCCGTTTTAAACCATTTCCACCAAAGTGTGCACGTGATAAAACAGCTTCAGGCCTCCGCTTCCTTCCAGCCTGCACCCCCCTACCCCCTTTCCCTGCCTTCCAGTTAGCCCTGGGTTTTCTCCTTCTTCTTCCCCTTTTCAAGACCTTGACCTTGGGTTACTCTTTTGGCTGCTGTCTCAGTTCTCAACACACCCCAGAGCTGCGTGGGTCAGTTTTGATTGCTCCACCCTGCAGACACAAAGGGGAGCTCGCAAGGTCAGGATGGGGCCCGGGTGGCTGGTGCGGAGTGGGCCTAGAAATCAAGAACTCTACTCTCCTTTCCTTTTCTTTTTTTAAAAATATATATTATGTATATAGTGTTCTGCCTGCATGTATGACTGCAGGCCAGAAGAAGGCATCAGATCTCATTCCAGATGGTTGTGAGCCACCATATGGCTGCTGGGAATTGAACTCAGAACCTCTGGAAGAGCAGCCAGTGCTCTTAACCTCCGAGCCATCTCTCCAGTCCTCTACTTTCCTTTTCAAACAGCCCCTGCATGTGTTGGACCTCCAAAATAATCAGATCACAGAGATACATACCTATGGAGGTTCGCCCTGACTGCCCCGAGGCGTCCCGCCAACCGTCCACATCAGTTCCCCGTCTATCACTATTACCATATCTTCATAGATGAGTCACCATCAGAAATCACCCGCTGACCCATACTAGCTTGTCTGGCACACGGTAGCCACAATAAATACCTGTTTAATGAACAGGCAAACCACCCAAGCACAGGGCCTGCTTTTCTGCTTCTAACTCTCTGACATCTTTCTCCTGTACTCTCTTTACCTGTTTAATCACCATGGCTCCCAGCTCTAGGTCTCTCTTCTGCTCTCATCCATTTGCAGAACTGCTTGACCATCATCATCATCATCATCATCATAAGCACTACTTCTCTTAAAGCATTCCATCAGGCTACAACTGATGGCTCCTAAATGTCAGGGAGATGAGCAGAATGGTCAAGAGAATTGTTAAGAGGAAAAGACAAGGGGGCTGGAGAGATGGCTCAGCGGTTAAGAGCACTAACTGCTCTTTTAAAGGTCCTGAGTTCAATTCCCAGCAATCACGTGGTGGCTCATAGCCATCTGCAATAAGGTCTGGTGCCCTCTTCTGGCCTGCAGACATACACGCAGAAAGAATATTGTATACATATAAATAAATAAATAAATATTTTTTTAAAAAGAGGAAAAGATAAGTCCAGGGGTATGGATTTCAACAAGTCAAACTGAGCTTCACACAGGGGTTGAAGTAATTCCAGCCATTGGACCCGGTCTTAGCCATGACCTTGTCCTCCAGCCCAACCCAAAATCTTTGTTGATGATGAAGAACTTCCTCCCAGATCATGTCGTCTGAATTCTGTCATCTATCCAGTGATTCCCAAAGTGTGGGAAGTTCCTTTACACCGTGTGAATATTTGTTACCGTGATTGATTTAATAAAGAAGTGGACTGGCCAATGGCTGGGCAGGATAAGGCTCGGTGGAAGAGCCATCCTGAGGATGAGGGCTATGAGGCTGGACAGCTTGAGTCCTGTCAAAACTTACATTGGAATCGGAAGAGGGAAAAGGAAATTTCTGCTTGTAAAGCTAAGCGGGCTGAGATTAGGGTTGAAGCTGGAATGACAAGAAAAACAATGTATTTTTCTAGAAAAACCTTTATCTTTAGGCACGTTTCAAAACAAAGGGGATGGATGTGGTTGGGATAACGGCCACTTGTGGGGACCCGCCAACTGCTAATTCCTCCTGAATGCCTGCAAGTAATATAAGTGTTATGGGGAGAGATGGTTTATGGCTGCCTGGAGAGATGGCTATCTGAAAGTTAGTCTCCTAGAAAATATGGAACTGATCAAATTCCCACCCAGGGTGATCTCATAGCACATCAATGTACGTGACCCCCGCAAATCCAGAACCAACAGAATAAATAACTTTTCTCTTTGCAAACGAGGGAGCAGCGCCGCCTCTTGGAGGTCAGGTCTGTGGAGGTCAAGGCACACTTCCCGTGAATGTGCGTCTTGTGCCCTCCCTGTCTGATGGGAGCTGAGCTGCCTCTGCTATTCTCAACAAGTGCGATCAACCACGTTTACATCTGCAGTCTCTGAGCCGGGCATCGCTAGGACGGGGGAACAAGGCAGCTCATGCCAGCTAGTGCAGACTAGACCGCCCGGCCTCCACCGTCACCGCAGGTCATGACTGGGAGTGCCTGATCCTCTGGGAGGCCAAGGGGACACAGAAGATGAGGAAGATCAGAAGGGCAGTGGGTGCTTCCAGGAGAGTGACGGCCCAGCTCCTTGGCCTCTCTTCCATGTCTTTCTGCTGCTTTTTCCCCAGATCGGGATAAATCACATTCAAGCATGGTTTCCTTCTCGGTTCCCTCTTCCTCTCAGTAGAGTTCAGTGGGCACCATTTCTCCCTACTCTGCTGGGCTTGAAAAAGACACCCAATAACTATTTATCAAAGGACAAAAAGAAGCCAAAAAGACAGGGATCAGGAAAGAAGGGCCTCATAAATGCTTTAAGGTGGTTGGCTGTCCTTCCATCCAAAGGCCATGAGGATGGGACGCAGATGAGAACCTGTTCATATCACATCTAAGATCGCCCAGGTTGCGGTGGGAGGCAAAGGCTGCAAGGCAACTTCAGACCCAACTTTGAGTGCCCTGAAATGTGGCACCATTTGCTCATTTTGGTGACCACAGAGGAGTGTGGCCCAAGAGATCATAGAGCCCCTGGGGCCTCCCAGACTCCTGTCTCTCTGACGGTTCTTCCTTCCCGCCCGGTCACATTTGTTCAAATCACTCTTCCCAACACATCAAACGCAGCTCAGTTTGCAAATAAAGATACATATGATCTCGCCGTAATCATATATTTCTCAAGACAGATTTGATGATCTCTCTAGAAGGTATAGGGATTGTTTTTTTTAATTGCATTTTTTAAAAAATAGCCTATGGTAGCACTGGCCTATGATCCCAACACTTTTGGAGGATAAAGCAAAAGAATCCTAAGTCTGAGCCTGCTTGGGCTGCACAGTGAGAGACTGTCACAAAAAAAAAAAAAAAAAAAAAAAAGAAGGAAGGAAAAAGGAGCCTTGTCTTGGGCAGAGGTCTTACCTCTTCTAAATGGCTCTGGGCAAGTTGGTTTCCTGATTGTGAAGTGGGGGACAGCAATACCTGCCTCCCAGGGCCGCTGTGGGTAGTGAATGGAATAATTACCAACCAGAAAGGTCCCTTTTCCCATGTCTCTGGATACTATTAACTAGTCAAATTGTTCTCGACATATATGTGTTCCCTGTGTCATCAACGATAAAAATAGGAATTGCTATTAGTTTTGCCATGATGAGAAAAATGCTTTTTATCAATATTAGGGGGTTGGATCGGCTCTTGTTGCCCTGTGTATCATTCCTATGAACATCGGGCTTTCTGCTTCTCTCGTAGGGAGCCCCACAGTCCCTGGAGGCAGCAGCTCAGAAGATGGGAGAGCCTCAAAGTTGTATAAATGAAGGGCTGATATGTTCAAACGAAAAAGAATTGTACACACGGAAGCTGCACATCGACATGACGCCGTTCCTGAAGGTGATCTCACACTGAGAAGACAAGGGGTTTATCGACACAGGCACAGGAACGCCAGTTAATACACTTCTGCATGCTACAAAAACAGCTCAGAAACCCCTCTGCGCGTTCACTTTATCAGAAGGGACAGAAAATAGGCAGGTTGTAGCAGATGAAGGAGGAAGAACAAATTAGGACCGTCGTCCCAGCCAGCCATCGGGGACAAACCAGCTGGGTGTCTGGTTTAGGTAGTGGGGGACAGTGGAACAGAGAGAAAAAGGGTCACTTTGAACTGCCTCATAAAACAGGTAAATAGGATTCATTTCATCCTGAGGGTAGCGAACGTAATTGCTTGCTACTGTTTGCCCCTATGACTTGGTAGAACGACATTCCTGAGAGTGCTGATTCTTGAGTTAATTATTTCGGGGTTAGATGTGGATTCTCTCCTGGACATCAGCCCTTGTTTTCTGTTCTCCGAGGGCTCACTGATCTCCCAAGCTCAGCTTCTCTTCTGGTTAAGGGCACTGAGAGCACCCCTGAGGTGAGGATGTCATTGGTCCACCCTTTGCTACACCGCCTCCCACACCAGCATGTAACACAGCCCCGGCCGATGGATGGGGCTCGGCGGGCGCTCCACAAGCTGGCCCACCCTTTTCATCCTACAGCCCTTTGGTCGAAGGCTTTTTCCCAACCCCTTCTTTGGACCTCTTCAGAGTATGCTGAACTGAAAAAATGGCCACAAAGTCAAAGAAACTGCCCAGGAGTGGAGCCATGATAGACACGGAGGGACTTTAGATCCTGCGTACTTTCCTAGAGGAAACCATCCTAGACCCTTGATAAGAAGTCTCTAGGAAAGACAGACACAGGAGAGGACAGACACTTGAGAACTCATGATGGCAATGCTATCTAGTGTTGTGAGGACCGACAGGAACTGTGGATGTCCCAACCTCATCTAATCCAGAGTTCTCAGGCCATGCTTCTGTGGGCTCCACATTCTACAAGGTAGGAGTTGGGCTGAGAGTCATGCAGATAGCTAATGATGCTCACGTGCTTGGGATCTTAAGAGTTAGGAAGTAGAGGCAGAAGGATCAGGAATTCAACACCAGTTTCAGCTACACAGGGAATTTGAGGCCACTCTTGGCCGTAGGAGACCCCATTTCCAAGCAAACCAAAAAAAAAACAAAACAAAACAAAAAACAAACAAACAAACAAACAAAAAATACCTATAAGTTCTATAAGTTTACCCAGCATCTATTTATCTCTGCGACTTTCCTGGGCTCTTTCTAGTGGAGGCAAGATGGCTCCTGGCTTTTTCTCCTAGGGTCATTTCAGAACCGAAAGACACAACTTAGGTCACATGCCCTAGTGAAGCCACTGGTCCTGCCTGGATCCACAGTTCGAGACCATGGAGAAAAGAAACATGTCTTACAAGACAGAATGTTGATTTCTAAACAGCAGAACAAAAGACGTTTGCTATAAGAATGAGAGAAAGAGATTGCCAGGCTGTTAGCTTACGTTGATGAAACAGCCCCTTTCCTTCCTAGGATCAGTATTGTCTTTGCCTTAAAGAAGTATGGCTGGTTCCTTCCGAAACAGTGGCTGAATCATCATTATCGCTGTTTAGTTGATCTTTTGATTAATATTTTGAGTGCCTGCTATGGGCTTGGCACCTTCTGAGTGTCTGGGGTACATCCATGAACAGAATAGACTGTGGTGGGCTGGGGCCGCAGCTCAGTTGGAAAGGACTTGCCAAGCATGCTCCAAGTTTCCAGGTTCCATCTCCAGTGCAAGAGGGGAAAAAACAAACAAACAAATTGACCAAGATCCCTGCTCCATGCCAGGTTAGTGCAAGGGGGAAACACTAAGCAAAACAAAGGAGCAAAGATGTAGTATGTCTGAGGTGACTTTAGTATTTTGTGTAATACTAATTATATGTAATGTGTCTAATGTGGCATTCCTTAGTATTGCTGAGGAGAACATGTTTATGGAGCAACTGAGAAGCACAGAACTCTAACGGGGGAATTTTGAAAGTCTGATTGAAAGTCTGATTGCTCTCTCTCAAGAAGACAGAAAGAATAGACAGTAAGCTTCACCTCCACAGCTGATGCAGGCATTAGTTAATGGAACTCTCAAGCTAAAAGTGGAGGGAGCCAACCATGCCTGCAGTTAGAGCAGCCCACATCTGTTCTGGAGTCCCAGGCTTTGTTCACAGAGACAGGTGCATCCCACCATCCAGAGGATCCCTGCCACCGCCTGCGTGGTCACATCAGAGAGGGTTTCTGTGAACGGAATGGGATAATAGGGAAATAAGGCCTGGCTTAAGACAAGATGAAGCCGCTGACCTATGAGGTAAGGTCTAGTCCCAAGTGCGCTTTGTTAACTTGGCAGAAATAGGTAGGGCAGAAGGACTGCAAGCCAGTTTCAAGATGCAGGGAATGCATGGGGTTTGGATAATATTGGCAGGAAAAACATTTAGGGCGGCAAGTGTCGCCTTCTCAAGAGAAAAGCAAGGCCAAGATGAAGCAGGACATAAGCAATATTAAGGTGTCAGGCCAGTAGTTGTTGGCAAACCCCAGGTCTTCTCTGATTCCAAGTGACCTTGAACCCTCGGGAACACCGTTTCCTCTTTGCAAAACAGAGATGATTAAAAAGTCCCCTCTCACCTGCTTCCCAGCAGTGAGGTGAGAATTGTATAAAGTAACAGTTTTGAAAACATGTTCACGTCTGTAACAGACTCAGCCCAGGGGAGGAAGAAATAAATACTCACTGGTCTCCGCTATGGCTGAGTCCCTCACACGCTGAAACTTGCTTAAACTTTCCCCCACCTGCCTTTCCAGCAAGAATTCAGATTCCCCTGCACTCAGGAGAAACCCAGGCTCACAGACAACCCAGGGCATGGCCGACATGCAGGGAGCTACGATGAAAAGCCCCACAATGTTGACCGAGGTCTCTCTGTGCAGTGTCCGTGAGGAATTTAATTCATGTCTTTGTTCTGGCCTCAGAGCCTGAGAAGGAGCAGGGATCTGTTTGGTTTTGGGGGTTGTTGTTTGGTTTTTCAAGACAGGGTTTTCCTGTGGAGCCCTGGCTGTTCCAGAACTCACTCTGTATATCAGCTGGCTGGAACTCACCTGTCTCTGCCTCCCGAGTGCTGGGGTTAAAAGTGTGCACCACTACTGCCCAGCATGTTTTCATTTCTCTTTCATTATGTACCCAGTGTTCTGCCTGCATGTACACCTGCAGGCCAGAAGAGGGCGCCCGATCTCATTACATATGGTTGTGAGCCACCGTGTGGTTGCTGGGAATTGAACCCAGGACCTCTGGAAGAGCAGTCAGTGCTCTTAACCCTGAGCCATCTCTCCAGGCCTCTTCTTTTTTAAAAAAATTTATTTTATGTACATTATTTTGATCGCATGTATGTTTGTGTAAGGGTGTCTGGTCCCCCAGAACTGAGGTAACAGACATCTGTGAGCTGGCATGTGGGAGCTAGGAATTGAACCTGGGTCCTCTAAGGAAGCTAACAGTGTTTTCAACTAAACCATCTCTCCTGCCCACACATATACACACATACATACACACCTATGGAATAAATGAAAAAAATTAAGGAATTAATTGTTGCTTTGGGGTATCAAATGTCATGTGACACAGAATTTCCAAATCTATCTTCCAAGTTGAACATTTAGGGAACTCTATGTAGCGTCTACCATCTGTTTTCAATAAGGTCTTTGTTGTAGTGCGGACTACCCTTATGTAGCTGATACCCTTGAATTTCTGATCCTCCTGCCTCCACCTCTGAAGTGCCAGGACTCCAAGTGTTCGTCACTGGGTCCAGCTCTCTGTGTATTTACCCATTATTGCTGTCCCTCACACATCCCCCATGGAGGGCCTGAGGTTCCATGACAAGTCATCTAGGCCGTTGGAGACAGACAGACAGAAGCTCCCCTTCTCCCTTCTGTATCCTCTTCCCAGTAAAGCCCTAGAGAAGCCTGCTGTGGGTCTAGAGGCAGCGTGCCCAGATGGAGGGCCCCGTTTGAGGGTGGAGGTTAAGGCTGGTGGAGGTTTTCCAAGGACAAATGAGAGCTTCAGATCACTTGACCAGAGCCTGGCTCACTGGCAGCTGTAGAAACTGAGGCTTGGGAGTTAAGTCGTTTCTGGTCTAGGACTTGAGAGCAAGCTTTAGCTTCACCACCCGTGAGTCACTGGGAACTGCCTCACACAGAGGCCCAGAATTGCCTGGCAGTTTACAGTGTTCGTTTCTCTAATGGCTTCCACCCAGGCCTCGAACTCCACATGGCTGTCCTTGCCCATTCTAAACACAGTACTGTCAGCAATTTGTTTTAAAAAGAAAAAAAAAAATCTTTCCATGTGCACTTTGACTGTGCAGTTCCCATCTTCAAAGATGTATTTCTTTTACTAGTAGAAAGGTATAACATTCGGTTTTTCTGAAACTCCAAACTGTCCCGTGCATTGCACCAAATGTGGTCTATGTCCAGTTTACACGGTCTGCCACTGCAGCCGTCACGCTCACACACACACACACACACACACACACACACCACCCCACGCTGCTCGCTCTGTTTGGAATTGCCCTGCCTTCCTGCTCCTGCAGGACTTCATACTCTGCCTACTGGTAAACAGACCCTACTGAGCCTAATTTAGCTTCACCTCCCTTGAGGTTCCGAGGAAACCTGGACCTATCACAACATTTACACTCTGTCTCAGAACTGTGAGGTTTCTTGTCGTCTTGCTACAGGAAAGCAAGCTTTCTGCAAATAGATCTTTCAACTCTGTGTCCCCAGTGCCTCACACGGTCCTTGGCACACGGCAGGCAAAGGTCATTTGCAGAAGGACCAGAGGACAAACCAACAGCTTAGACAGAGTTACAGGGCTGGGGTTTGAATCTTCATCTGTTTTGCTCACTCAACAAGATGAGTGTCGATAACCCCAAAACTGTGACATCTGAAATGCTCCCAAATCAGAAAATCTTTGAATAATGAAAGGAGTGCCACATATGGAAAGTTCTGTGTCTGAGTTCATAGGATAGGTCACGATGTAAACGCACTTCTAAAATGGTGTGTAAAGTTATCCTCAGGATGTGTGCGTGAAACGTATCTGAAACATAAGTGAATTTTGTGTGTGCATTTGAGTTTCATTCCCGAATGATATTTCATCATTTGTATGTATATATTCCAAAATTTAAAATGTGTGTGTGTGTCTGTGTATATGTGTGTATATCTCTGTGTGTCTGTATGTATGTGTGTGTATGTGTGTGTCTCTGTGTCTTGTGTGTGTCTGTGTCTCTGTGTGTATGTGTCTCTGTGTCTTGTGTGTTTCTGTGTATGTATGTGTATGTGTGTGTCTGTGTGTGTGTGTGTGCAAACCTTGAAACACTACTAATTCCAAGCATTTAAGATACTTGTGATTTGATCACTCAGTTTACTGATTTTATTTTAGTGTCTTGTTGCTATCTGTTTGGACTTTGTGGTGCTGGGGATTTGAACCCAGGACCTTGCATGCTAGTTAAGTGCTCTACCGCAGAGCTACACCCCCAGCTCTTGGTTTGGATTTTTTTCAGACAGGGTCTCCCTTGAAGCGGTGAATGCCAACATGACGGGGTGGCATGCCCAGGAGATGAGTAAAGGGCACCTCTGGGCGTGTCTGTGATGACATTCCCAGGGAGGATTAACTAACGTGGGGAAGGCCTGGATGTGGTGGCATCATCCCATAAGCTGGAGGCTAGGATGAAATTAAACATGGACAGGGGAGAGCCACTGGGAGTGTAGGAACGCTGTCTGCCTACTCCCCGGCCACCACGATGCGTGCTGTCTCCATGCCTTCCTGCCATAGTGAACTGACTCCACGGAAACTATGAAACCAGATATTTTCTCCCTTTAAACTGTCTCTCCCAGGCGTTTGTCATAGCGACGGAAGTAACACAGGGAGGCTGAGCTGTTCTGTTTACCTCCTGGGTACCGGGATTAGTTCTGGTTTTCAGTTCATGTTTTGAATCTGAGATGCACTCAGAAATCCTTTTATTTTTATTTATTGGGGGTGGATGGGGCTCATGGCCCCGCTCTCACTGTGTAACTGAGGATAATGTTGACCTTCTGATGTTACACACTCGCTCCACCCCCAGAGTACTTGGATTACAGGCATGTACGCCATGCCTGGCCCCGTGTGCCCTCATTGAGTGTAGAATGTAATACATACAAACATAGCTAGAAGGGTAGATTGTCATGGAAACTGGTCTGTTACTACACACTGTTCAGGATCTTATTCTGAGATTTCATAGAGTTCTGGGTCAACTCAGAGAGTTCCCTTGTTCTTCCTAAATCACCATAAGTCACTTAACTAGTCTCCAGTTGGTAGGCCATGTGGGCTATTTCATTCCATTCTGGGTGCAAAATCCGGGAGCAGCTGCATCATCGGCACGGGGCTCTATTTGGGTTGCCAGCTCTGCCTGCTGTGCTTTTCTGGGTTGTTAAGGAGCTGCCCTCCAACTGCTAAAGGAGGACAGGGGTTCTTGATCCAGCTGCACGCTGGAACGAGACACCTTAAAAATGTGCTACCCCATCCAGGCAGTGGAGGCGCATGCCTTTAACCCCAGAACTTGGGTGGCAGAGGCAAGCGGATCTCTACGAGTTTCACGCCAGCCTGGTCTACAGAGTGAGTTCCAGGACAGCCACAGTTACACAAAGAAACCCTGTCTTGAAAATTTTTAAAAATTATAATCTGTAGGAGGAGGGAGGCCACTTGTTTGTCCCGGCCACCCGGCTGCTCAGCCCCAAAATAACCACACAGAAACTGTATTAATTAAAACACTGCTTGGCCCATTAGCTCTAGCTTCTTATTGGCTAACTGTTACATTAATTTAACCCATTTCTATTAATCTGCATATTGCCACGTGGCAGCGGCTTACCAAGTAAAACTTTCCAGCATCTGTCTCTGGCTCCATAGCATCTTTCTGGCTGCACCCTTCTTTCTCCCAGCATTCAGTTCTGTCTTCCCTGCCTATCTAAGTTCTGCCCTATCAACAGGCCAAGGCAGTTTCTTTATTCATTAATGGTTTCCAAACATACAGAGGGAAATCCCACATCAATAATCTTCATCATTGCCTTCATCATCATCACCATCCCCACTAAGCACCACTAAGAAAAGAAAAGGCCATTGGGGGACAGCTAAGGAAACTTTAGTCCATTTTACCTGGAGGGCGTGGACAGAGGGATGTTTGCATTTATTTTGTCTCATTATTTTTTGTGGTATGTAAACCCAACAGGAACATGGAGATGAAACTGACCCCAACGAAGAACCAGGAGGACCCCACAGAGGGAGTGACGAAGACGGCCAAGGTAGAGCCAGCTGACGCTGGGTGTACAATCCTATCGCTGGGATTGCCCAGGATGAACTGTGTGCTGCCCAGACCCATTAACAAAGAATGATCTTACCATTTCCCCTCAGACTGTGCCCTGGAACTTGGAATCACACTTATTATCACAAGCAAATGTGGGTGACTGGCTTTCTCTTCCTGGATTATTTAGACATCTCCTTCCTACTAGAGATGCCAAGAATAGAGGCTTCCGGGATGTACAAAAAACCCATTCCCCATTCCCACCCCAAGCATCTCCATTTCTCTGTCCTGCTTTCACGGAGGTGTGGATATGTGGGCGAGGGGCCTGGGGTTCCACGCCTAGAGAGGGGTGCGTGCAAGGACACAGAACCTAGAATGCCTTGAGCTAGGCGGTGGTAACGCACACCTTTAATCCTAGCACTCGGGAGGCAGAGGCAGATGGATCTCTCTCTGTGAGTTCTGGTCTGCAAGAGCTAGTTCCAGGAGAGGCTCCAAAGCTTCAGAGAAACCCTGTCTCAAAAACAAAAGGAAGGAAGGAAGGAAGGAAGGAAGGAAGGAAGGAAGGAAGGAAGGAAAAAGAATGCCTTGATATGCCTAAGTAGATCTCTGTGAATTTGAGACCAACCTGGCCTACTGAGTTCCAGGACAACCAGGGCTACACAGAAATCCTTTCTCAAACAAACAAACAAAAAGAATGCCTTGATGGGGGCTTCCTTAAAAACAAGCCTGCATTTGTTCAGGTGGTAATGGTTCTATGAAATACTTAGCCCGGGACCACTGGGTTTGGAGACATACATCATAGTTCTTATTCCAGAGACTCAGTTAGACTCTAAGGTCTTTCGCAGGGCACCTTGGCACATTGCTTGAAACTGCAGCCAACTGGGCCTCCAGGAACTGAATTGGTCTCTGTCCCTATCGCTTCTAGTTTTTTTCTGGTTTTGCTTGTGTGTTTTGAGGCAATCTCACTGTGTGACTCTGGCCGTCCTGGAACTCACAGAAATCCTCCTGTCTCTGCCTCTGGAGTGCTGGTATTAAAGCCGGTTGCCATCACGCTGGAATCTTCGTTTCTTCTTGCAGAAGTGGAAACGTGTGTGTGTGTGTGTGCGCGCGCGCGCGCGCGCGCGTGTAGGTCTATCTCACCTTTCTTTCTAAGGGAGGTTTCCAGACCACACAAAAGCGAAGAACTTACTGTTGCTATACAAAGGTGTCCAGCAGAGGGAGCACGCGGGCTGAACGCCAGCCTGGGCTCTGAAACCATTTGAGGCACTTTGGAGCGCTTGTTTTCGTGGCCCCCTTTTAAAAGTCACGGGTACCCAGGTTGGTAACGTCAGGTCTAATGAACTGAGCTTGAACTGTAGAGTGGTTCCAACCACCTTCACCTCTGCATATCTGGCATCTTTGTCTGCAGGATGGCGTAAGCACTCCCCCGGAAAAAATACAGTCCCTTAAAGAATACCAGTCTCAGCCAGGGACAGGGGCGCTGGGCGGCGGTGCACGCCTTTAATTCCAGCACTTGGGAGGCAGAGGCAAGGAGATCTCGGATATTCCAGCAAATTAATATCTACCCTCTTGTAGTCACTATTTACCAATCTACAAAACGGCACTGGCTCCTTCTCCATTAAGTTGAAGGTTTTGATCTTTCCTGTTTATCTTTCATTGTTTCTTTCCATTGACATCATAGTAAAAAAGTAACAATTATTATACTGATTTTATTTTTCTAAAGATGTTTTGGGTTTTTTGTTTTGTTTGTTTTGTTTTTTACGTGTCTGGGTGTTTTGCCTGCGTGTATATCTGTGTACTGTGTGAATGCAGGACTTAAGGGTGTCAGATCCCCTGGAACTGGAGTTACAGACAGTGTGAGCCACCAATGTGGGTGCTGGGAATAGAACCCAGGTCCTCTGGAAGAGCAACCGCTAATTATAACCACTCTTAACCACTGAGCCATCTCTCCAGTCCTCTACTGACTTTTAAAGACGTCACTCTTTCTGGGTATCAGGCAATAACACAAGATGGTGGTGTGAGCCCTGGGTTAGTCAAGGTTTTAAGGAAGGATTTTTTTTTTTTTATGTATACAACATTCTTTCCCTGTATGCTTGCATGCCAGAAGAGGGCACCAGATCTCATTATAGATGGCTGTGAGCCACCATGTGGTTGCTGGGAATTGAACTCAGAACCTCTGGAAGAACAGTCAGTGCTCTTAACCTCTGAGCCACCTCTCCAGCCCCAGGAAGGATTCTTTTAACATGAGGCCCTGTCACCTCCGTCTTCAAAGCTGAGTGACACTAGCCAGAAAAAAAAAATGCTGACCTTCAGGTTCACCCTATTATAAATCACACATTCAGAATGTGAACCCTGACAAGGCTCGGAGATCTCAGCCAACTGCAGGGAGGGCTTTAGGCACCACAGAACGTGGCCCAAACTAAGCAATGACCAAGTCAGTCAAGACAGATTTCCTGTCTCATGACACCAGGGCCGGCTCCGGCCGCGTTCCTCGGAGGTTAGCCAGACATTCTCCTCTAATGTAGTGAAATGTCACCGCGGAAAGACACAGAGGGACTTGCCAGTCCTTTTCAGAAAGGATTTCAGGTCTTGGAAGGCAAGAAGGAAGTGCTAAGGAAACACTTCTATTGTTTAAAGAACAATTCTCCCCCTTAATGGTCAAGTGGGTTTTGTTTTGTTTGGGATTTTGGTTTTTACCCTACTGTAAACTCAGTAGTGACCTTCATGGTTTGTTTTACGGATTGAACCAGAGACTGGGGATACAACTCAGCATTGAGCATTTGCCCAGCACGAGCAAGGTTGAGTTCAATCATCAGTACTATGTATATTACACACATGGACATAGATAAAATTTTAAAGAATAACTGAGCTAGTGAGCTAGTGAGATGGCTTAGGTTCCACTTTCAAGTTCCCCTAAGGCCAGGTCAACCAACAACCTCTAAATCCGGGCAGACTGGGGAAATAACTCTTGCCCCAAAGTCCAAGGAAAGAATACAACTTCAATTCTAGCTGCCTCCTAGGCCAATGGTTCTTTTATCAGTGCACTTCAGAACTACCTGGAAGTCTTGTTTTTTTGTTTTGGTGTTTCAAGACAGGGTAATATGGAGCCCTGACTGTCTTGGAACCCATTCTACAGACCAGGTTGATCTCAAACTCAGAGATTCCCCCTGCCTCTGCCTCCTGAGTGCTGGGATTAAAGGTGTGCACCGCCACTGCTCAGCTTCACCTGGAAGGTTTACAAAGGGTTTCAAAGGTATTTGCCTGGAATTCCAGCAATTGGAAGGCTAAGGTGTGAGGTGTACATGCAAACCCAAGTCCAGCCTACATTACAGAGACAGACGCTGTATCCAAAATTAAACCAAACAAGGTTGTAGAGATGGGTGTATAGTTAGGAGAGCTCTCTTCCTTCCCAGAGGACCCGCGTTCAATGTCCAATTCCCACACCAGCGCCAGTATATCTGTCGCCCTCTACTGTCCACCAAAGGCACCACACAAGTCATACACTTACACAGACACGTGTACGTACACATAAAAAAACTTACTTTTTTTATTGAAAGGAGACAAAACAAATAAAACCAACAATGGTGAAAAGCAAAAAAAATCTGGGCTTCTCGGCAATATTTTTAGTCCGGTTCCCACTTGATGCTGGAGGTTCGGAACCACACTCTCAAACGGTAGTCTTGAGACCTATTTCTCACGTTTATTTCTCTGAAATTTCCAGGGTCTATTTAGGTGTTTTTTTTAAAGTAATAAGGGTTGGGGAAGGAATTGGTGAGCAGGCACTCTTTAGAATATGCTTAGATGCTGATACTACGTCTCAGGTGGCTGGGGCTGAGGCTCAGTCGGGACACCATCAGTACACCAAACACAGGATTCAGTCCCTAGCACCACATAATCTGGGT